ATTTACATGAGTTACCTAACAGGCTTGTAGAAAGTAACCATACACAAACATTACAGAGCAGCAGAGCCAGAGTAGGAGCTTGACACTGCTGAACTTTGCAAAACTTGTCCGAGCACGCATGCACAGGGCCTCCTAGTTTTGATGCATTCCCATCTGCCATTGTCTTGCAAAAGCAGAAACCTGAAGATCAGAGTTTGGAATGAACAGCAGCCCAACATCTCCCTCCCTCTCCCCCACTCACAGCCAGTGAGCGACACACTGACTGATGGAATGAACACTTCAACTTAGGTAGAAAAGAGGTGTCTGGACAGCATCTCTTGCTTGGATCCTCTGAACTCTCAAGCCTCTTGAAACGTTTTGTCGCCATGCTGTCCAGGCTGTGCCATTTTCATTCCAGTGCAGCCGCTCTGCTCTTCCACCTGTCATCTATGCACTGAGCTCCCTGCAGCCGACATGCTCACGGCTCCTGAACGTGAGGGGAGTCACGACACCACCAGTACACAAGTGGTGTATTGACATAGCCACATACTGTATTTACTGTAGCTCTCATTATGTTCCTTTGCTGATGGAGCACTCATTACTCTTTTACAATTAAAACAAATCTTTGTGCAAAGCTATACAAAATGTTTGCATTGTGTTAAATGCTGTACTGTACAAGTTATGACACAACTCCCTGCCCTTACACTTTATGTTAATCATAAGAATCATACATGTAAGTAAATTACACAGAGGGGGGCGTTTTTTCTGCAGAGCGTCAGTACATTTCACAGATAATAATTCAATGGCATGGACACAATGTCTTGACTTTGCTCGATGTGTAAATTACCATTAACAAATTGTGAAGCGCAGTATGATAGTATGATTCTCTCCATGAACTAACAAAGACGTGTTCAAGCAGGTGAGCAATGGAAACGCAACTGAATGACACCAGTGCTCTTTGATGCACTAGAAAGCCTGCTATTTGTCTTTACATGGATTTTAATATATTGTCACTTTTACCTGTGTTGTAAAAACTTTAACCAGGTGCAGGCTAATTAACTCAAGAGGTTTCACCTGTGTGCAACGTTTAAAGAAGCAGTTGTACGGTGACACTGATAAAGGCCGGATGGTTGAAAGAATTCAGTCTTCTTGCAGAATAAAGTGATTTCTTGTCACTGAGTGTGATCCTAATTTAAGGTCTCCAAACCAACAGAATGCAAAATGTGTGTAAGACAGAGTTTCATTCTGTGTTCTGTCTAAACTGAAAGTTTTGCCATGATATGCCACAGATTGTGGCCTTGTGGAGTTTCATGGGCAAAATACACTAATCTCAAATGCTCTTCTGCATATGAGCAAACTATTAAACAAGAGCACCTTTGTACTTACTCCCACTGTTCATCTGAACATTGACATTCCTCACCCACTGTGTCTATATCTAGGGAAAGGTGCAGGTTGCTGGACACGGAGGTTTGGTATAATACAAAACATGCAGTAAAATATAAATATAAAAAAACAGTATCTGTTTTGTTCTTGTCATGCTACATTTTCCAGGTCAGGTCTTGTGGGCAGTCTGAGCCCTCATACACTGCTGAAGACAATTTGTATTTCACTCTTAAATTTCAATTGGTTTCATGCTGTTTTCTAAAGTGCCCATCCTTGATGCTATAATTACATTTGGGCAACAGGGTATACAATATTTCAATTAGTAAGAGTGGGGCTCGTTTCTCTGTTGCAGGCCCACTTTGTGATTCCGTCTGACATGGATGCAGAGCTGTCATGAAAAGGCTAACCAAGCAGGACACCCAGCTGGGTGTAATTTTACAGAAAAATATTGCCTAGTTGAAGTACTACAACAGCGAAATCTTCCTTGGTGCAAAACTTTACTAATGAAGAAACTGCATTACATGGCACTCTTATTCCAAATGTTCCATGTAGGAATAATTAGAAAAGGAATAAGCAAAAATTTAATGTCTGTCTCTCTGCAGGTGACAGAAAATTGTCTTTGCCATGGATCCTCAGTGAAAACACAACATATAAAAGAACAATTAGACATAAAACATCTGTTTAAACGCTCTCAGAATCACCACACAGCATGCAAACCTACAGGGGTGAAATATAAATTCAGAATCTCATAAGAGTATGTTCACATCATGAACAGGACAAGACTCAGTCATTAACATTAGCCTCAGTCAACAGGGAAATAAGTCTAAGCTGGTGCAGTTTTGCTGCTCTTATTCAGCATCGATATGAATCTCTTGGATATCACAGGATGTCTTCTTCACAGGGTGTGAGAACACCCTCAGCCACCATCACTGAACAGGTGATATATGAAGTTAAAGCATTGATGTCAGTCCATAATAATCCTGAGACAAAGCTGAGAGTGTTTGGAGAAACACAAATACTACCACCATGGTCCTGCCTTCAATAAGATTCATTCATTCATCAGCCTATCTCTGATCTTCTGCTCAAGTTGCATTGCCCTCACCTCGACAGATGCTGAGGGGGGATCGGGTTAATGGCCACCGACAGTAAAGATGGTACTACTGAGGAACCCTTTCATCTTTGTTGATAAGGCAGAGGATGCTTGCACTGCTCTCTCTTTGGGTTTTTTTTTATCAGTGACAATGTTACAGCTGTGTGAAGGAACATGAAGGATTATGAAACACCACCACAAACATCAGTGAAATGTCTTTGTGGAAAGGTTATCAAATGGTTAAAAGTGCAGTTATGTATAAGCTAATTTAACAAATGCATTAATTATGGCAGGACTGTTGCAATGGATTGCATGTCAGCTATTCTTTTTATCATTTTTTATAAAAAGTCAGTTCCCCTTTGAATCTCCATGTTACCATCATCAAAAATATCACTAACTGGCTTTTTAATTTGTTCATACAGTATATACAGTATGTGGATGCACTAACATGATGTATTGGCTAGAGTAAAAATAATTTTGCTGATTATTTTAGCCTTGTGTTGGATGGATAAATAAAGTGGTGCCAGAAGGTTTATTGTTTTGAGAGTTATGACAACAAAATTCAAGTCTAAAGTACATTTCCATGTATTAGTTTGCTGTGATGTCTTACCTGACGCTCTCTGTTTTTAACAGTTGTTTATACTCCAGAGTGGTTAATCTGAACAATCTAGATGAGGGGGAAAGCAATACAAAAGGAGGAAGTACCCCTATGAGATGATCAAGTCAAGCAGCCAGCATCCTCCTGCTCTCACATCTCTAACCCCTGCAGATAGGGGCCAGAGGAAGGCCTGCTGAATTGCATATTAATGACTCACCTGAATCCTGCCATGTAATGTAGGAATGATGGTGGTTAATGGAGTGTGGAGGGTAGTTTCTCACTAAATGCCACCATTCATATGTTTCAAGCATCAGTGGCTTTGTTTCAGCTGTCAAAAATGAAATGCTTAATTGAAAAACGCTCCAGTCTGGAGCAACATGACGATGGACAGTCATCCACACGGTGCTTCAAGTGTTTTCATTCCTGTACAATAAGAGTCCACAGCACTGAAGAGGAAAGTCTGGGATGCTATGGTTAAACTGATCATAACAGTTCTGTCTTGAGCAATTCTGAGCAACAAATGTCTGATCTGAAACAGCTTAAGTGTTATTTTACCTTCACAATCAGCAACAAGCAGCAATCGTTCTTAGTTTTCCCAGAGCACCAAAAGATTTACCAAGAATGTGACAACAGTGACATAAAATGCATTAAGCTGATTTAATCCTTTTAGTCATTATAAGATACTAAGACTAAAAGTGTCTGCTACAAGTCTAAACTGCAAACTGTGACCATTTTCCACTCTGGCTCCTGAATGGTGAAGAATAAAATGGCAGCTCCCTGATCATATGAACGTCAAGCAGGCTGTTGCTAAAAGTAAGAATGCATCGTCAGCACAGCATTCCTCAATAAATAAATAAAGGAAAATATATAAGAAAGCAAACAGGATTGTGTTCATCCATACTGTTTATATTGTATTTTCTGTTTGTCAGCTGTTGCTATAAAAAACATGGACTTTCATTTAAAAAGTTTAACACACTGTAGTTGAATGCATCAGTGAGTGAATGCCTTTTGTCCGTCCTCAGCACAAAGGACAGTACAAAATACATCCACCAAAAAGCCAAGCATGAAAAAACAGAGATCTGCACAGCGCTCAACCAAAACTGCCTGTGTTTCAAAGAAAACAAGGTTTAAACTGCTTTAAACCCTGGAAATGTCAGTGTGGCGGCCCTGGTGCCTGGCATTGGTGCTGTGTGTGTGTGTAGCAGGTTGCAGTGTCCATGAGGTGGCTGACTGATGATTGGGAGCACCTGGCCAGTGCCTACAGGTGGTTTAGTGTTTCCACACCCTGCACCACGTTGTCTGTTTTGTTGGTGATTGTTCGAGTTAACTTTTTTAAAAATTGTTTCACACCTACTACATGCACCTCACACATGCTCATGCATTCATTGATTTCTTGCACCACTGATGACATCTACACCTCATTCTTTCCTTTTTATTTAGTTTAATAAACTCCAGTAATATGTTTTTACTCCAGTAGTGCATCTCTCTTTGTCATAATACCTCAAATAAAACTAAAATGACTTATCCTGTTTTTGTATATTCTGTAATAAAAAAAAAAAAATACAAGATTTTATCTGGGAAAACAATAATGACTTTCTTGTTTACTTGCAATGGGAAGGAAGGTTCACATAAACCTGTGTGACACATGATTGTTTTCAGTGCAAACAAATCCCCATAACACTCTAAGTAAAAGCAGGCATCTCCTCCCTCAGCTGACTTCCTGCTCCCATCACTCAACACCCCATCTCCACTAACTGAAACAGCAGCCAACTAACTTTTTGTCAGTGTCAGCAACATGAACCTCAATTGCATCCAATCAGCTTAATTCACACTCGGCTGTGGTGGTGGACTCCTGCTGATAGTGGCTCTTGTTTAAAATTAACTTTAAATCTCTGCCCTTCCTCCTTTTCTACTCTGCTCTCCTCCTTAAACCCCGGAGCTCTGCTACTCAAGAGATGCACTGCAAGAAATGTGTATGTATGACTATACCTCCTTTATTTTCACAGTTAATCTTCAGCCATTTTCCATAAATGATAGGTTACATATTCAAAGCATATTTCTAATTTTTTGCAGTGTGTTCAATGCTGTACAGTTGCTGCATAAGCAGGCAGATCCTCTAATGAACCAGTGGGTATCAGCAGATGTGGGCCTATAACTTAATTTCCCCCCTCAGCTATAGAGCAGATTCTATGGCTTGTAAATGGTCTTGATGGATGAGCACTACAGTTCATCATATCCCCACCACCATCAGCACCAACCCCAAGCATCCAGCATCCTTCAGCTCTGTCTCTACTGTCCCAGAATAATCATGAAACTGCACATCTGAAATGTGTATAATGATCTTTGTTAGGCCCAGTGTGTCTGATGTCAAACCACATGTTGCTTTTCTTGAAAAAGAAATATTTGTGTTTGTTGCAGTTTGATTGTTTTCATTCTTCAGCACACGTATAAAGGAAGAGGAAATCATGTTTAGTATCATATTTACTGGCTTGTGTGTTGAGCAGGGAGTTGGTCTTGATGGTTTACAAAATCACAGAAACAGATCCAACTGTGTTATACAGGTTAAGGCCTCAGACAAAACTAGTAAGAGGACCTTGTGTTGGCTTTGTTTTGTCAAACTGCATTTTCCAAAGTTAAATATGACACCAAGGCAGCACAAATAAGAAGTATTTAAAGGTGCAGTGTGTAAGATTTAGTGACATCTAGTGGTGAGGCTGCAGATTGCAACCTTCAGCAAAGCTCTCATACATCGTGATATACAGTACAGCTGTTTCGTAGCATTTACTGTAAATGTAGGACAAACTGTGCTCTCGGAAAACAAGTGCAGCTGACTTGACCAAGCAAAACCTAATGGCGGCTCACTTAACAGCAGTGGGTTATCCAGCACTGGCCATGTTCTAGCTAAAGCTATCAAATAACAACTTGAATTTAAGTTAACTTTACTTGTTAGGCTAACTTACTGGTCCAACAGAAAACAGGCAACATCTGGAAACATTTGTACCTCATCAAGGATTTCCATCTGGGAAAGGCCACACCAGTGTTTATCCACATCTTGTGCTGCTGCCTGTCCTATTTCTTTGTGCCTTTGTGTCTTTGATGGCAGGAATTCACACTGTCTTCTTTCTTCTCATGTTAAAGTATAACTACGATCCTCAATTTCTTCAAATTACAGTTCTTAAACTCACCACCGTGCTTCCTCTTGTTTCTAGTGTTACTTCTTCTACATCTTCCAAACGTCTCCAAATTCAAGCTGTTACTTGAATGTGAAAATGCAAAATTCATGCTCTAGAGACAGACTGTGGTTTGTCCATTATGGGCTCCTGTTAAAGTTACAACACACACACAAAAAAAAACATGGCAGCTCAACATGGCAGCCTCCATGATAGGAGACCTGCTCCTATGCAGTTATAAAAGGCTCATTCTAAGCAAAAGAAAATATGAAGAAGAAGAAAGAAAATGCATATTATAGCTAATTTCTGCTAATAAATCCTTCTAAATCTTACATACTGCATGTTTAAGGTGATATGGATGAAATCCTGTCAGCTGCTGCGCTTGCATGTAGTTAGAGCCACACTGCATGGTTTTGTTGAAAGGTCCAGTTGAAGGTAGTAAGTGGACCTTAAGTTGGAAACAAAGATAAAGAATTGATTAGTCAAATCACAGCATCTGTGCAGTGAGTACCCCAGTCACTTCTTCCTGTTTTGTGTTTTGGTTCCAGCCTTAATTCTCCACTTAATCCACAGAGACATAACATGGATTGGATAAATATGGTTGTTTCAGAGAGATGTGCCAGATTTGCAGTTCTCTTTAGTCTGTTAGATCATTGTTTTGGATTTATGGCCTGAAGCTTCACTGTACTGTTGTATTTAGTCTCTGTCTCATCAAACTTGCTGCAATGTGCAGCTGTTGTCGAACCCATTCTACATTACCTGCCCTCACTAAATGGCAAACAAAGTTAGCAACTAGCTTATGACTGTAGTGGAGCACTTAAATCTCTCTCCATCTCTACTGTGTGCATTAAAAAATGCCTTCTGTTATACTGATATTTTACAAGTTAATCCTTAAACAGATAAAATCAGTCAAATTTGAAATTTAACACAACAGCCTGCAGTGTGAACATAGCCTAAGAGGTGGCAGAGAAACCAACTAAGCACACAAACTCAACATACACAACAACCCAAACATACACACACACACAATATCTTCTCAACATATCCTCTGTCCCTCTCAAGGGCAGGGAGCTGTGGTTGCTGCTGGAGGGCCGAGGGGAGCATGTGGCGAGGCGTCCATATGGGGTAACCTGAGTAAATGCCGGGTAAGGCCACCATGCGTTGGTGCACTCTGTTGACTGTTTCAACAGACATGTTTTCCCAAAGCAAGAAAAAAGTACACTAAGAGGGATGCCTTAAGTCACGGCTCAGTTCACCGAGCTATCTCACTGTAGGAACCCAATCTGCCTCAGCTTCTTGCAGCCGCACCTCACGAACCTGCTCTCCTGCTGCGGATTTTAACCATAATTGCAAGTGTTACATTACGAAATAAATTATGTTTAAAGTGTACAAATTTGCATAATTCTCTTGCTTTACTAAAATCTATTACAGAGCTGCTACAGGCTTCTATAAGGCTTCTAAATGTAGTTTGGGCTGTCTCTGTTTTTATTTTTTCCTCCCTTCAATTCACCTGTGGATGCAGTTGCAATCAAAAATGCTAATTACCCCTGTGGCTTAATCAACATTAGAATAATTACTCCATTAGAATACCAGCAAGCTGTGATGATTGTAGGATGGAAAAGCCTCGTAAAACATGTTCCTTTTATTTGATTAACATCAGGATACAAAGATAGCTCCCCCACCAACAAAACAGCTGATGGATTAAGACTGAAAGAAATTCTGCAGCTGTAACGAGAGCAAAGCAAAGTCTGAGCTCCTGCAGTGTGAAACAACAAAAAACAGGCTTAATGTGGTTGTTACGTTCTCTCCCACTTGTGCTCCTCAGATCTGTGTTCACTTTCCCAATTGGCAAGTTTGAGACATCAGTGTTTTAGTTCCGAATGTTGAACCTGCAATCAGTGTATCTGTTGCAGTCCACAAGTTTTAAACAGACACAAACCCCTGTTACAATCAGGAAGACTCCGACGACTAAAATGTTCAGCAGCTAGCTAACAAGAAACTTGAATTTATTTTACATTTATATTTTGAAGGTTGGATTTTCATTGTTGTCATCAGAGTAACTCTGTGATACCACTAACAGCATTAATGAGTACTAAATAAGTATTCTTAACTTTGTTGACATGTAATAGTGTTATGATAAAGTCTAAAAAACAACAATCAGTTTTGTTGTTTTGTAATGTCCGATTGTGCATGGTTTCATGATCTTTCCAGCCTCAGCCCAACGATTCCTCCAACCTATGAGATTTGGGAGTCATACTTAGCTTCTTCTCCGAAGGTTTTGACATAAGTATGAAAGAATCAGTTGTTCATCTTTTGAACTAATACTTACATTATTTATTTATTGCTAAATACTCAAACTGGCAGTTGTCTAATATTGTCTACTGGAAAATAAACAGGACTCTTACTCCCCAAACCAAGGTGCCTGAAGTAGTTCCTCCTACTATGACTTTGGAGACAGAACCTTTTAGCTAAAAATGTTATCTTGTCATATTGCAGCTTCATGGGAGTAACTTTTTGAGAAAAAAAAAAAAGGAGATAGAAGAACCTTGTAAGTTCACTTTCTGTAAAAACATTCACAATGTGTTTCAGTTCAACAAAAAGAAACAATTACCCCCAGCTTACAACACTAATGAGTGCTTCTCAGTTGTGCAAAACAATTGATTTCCAGTTGAATGAGACCTGGGTGGAGCCACTCAGATTATCATCAATATTTAAGTGTGCTGTGAATAAGTGGTATTTAAAGACTGTTTTGCTGACGTTTTGACCTTAAGTGTCTCATTCTGGAGATGAGGAGGGGAGCGTTTTGGGGGAAAGCCGGGTCAATATTAAGACACACAAGTCAATTAATGCTGCAAAGTGTTTTTTCTCCTCTTTCTCTGGTCTTCCTGAGTGACAGACTGAACTCTAAACACCATCTGCTAAAAAGTCTCACTAAACTTGACCCCGTCACCCTGAAGGGTTGGCTGACCTCTGCCACCAGATCGTGCTTGCCGGGCCATCCAGAAAACAGAGGCCTGACATGACACGAGGATTGGAAGATTTCTCACGTCTCAGCCTGGAGAATCATAACCTGCATTCAGCAGCGACAGAACAAAGGCTGGAATACAGCGGGTGAAAGGGGACGACCATAAATCTGCCAGAAAAATCCACAAGTGCTCTGGCTTTGCTGCTATTTAAGGTGACGGGCATGAGTGCTAGACAGCACGTTACCTCGAACGCATTCCACACAGGCGTCTGAGTTAGGTGCACTTTCACTGAGCCACAGAAAGCATTGTTGATTATGCAGGATCTGTTTTTCATCTTTTCTCACAGTTTGAGCCGATGTCTGAGACACCCAGAGGGTGCAGACCAGCTTTTAATTATACAGGGAAATGTTTTGTTTCGTTTTTTTTATTTAAAACAGGAAAATAATTTATTGTGTCTTCGATATTGTTTTAGAAAAGGCAAAGATGACAGGATACTCATTAAATGTAGAAATATTTGCATTTTTCTCCTCTGGGGGAGCTGTGGGCCTGCAGCTTTGTTACAGTTGTTTTTATTACTTCTGTTGATGAAAAATGAGGGTTAAGATGCATCTCACACCATAATGTTTGTTTCTTGTGTTTTGTCCTCATGAACTTTAAATAAAGTTTGTAAAAACATTAGCCTTCTTGAAGTTTCTAGTACCAAAAAAGAGGAATGTTGTTGTTTTACAAAGTAACTACACATCATAAAATGTCTTATCAGATTTAATAGGTCCTGACCTTTGTGGGACATTTTGTACTTCAGGACCAGAAATATTTCACTAACAAATATATAGCACCAACTTTTTTAAAGAGTAGGCAACAAACTTGAAAGTACACTCTACTAAGACACTAGATGTCTAAAAACCTACACATCATCAGATGCATGTTTGCCGTGTACGTTTGACTGCTGTTAGAGCTCTACTGCAGCTCTGTTGCAGACGGGTGGGGCTCTATCCAGCCAAAACACTGGGACCCTCATTATTCTTTGCTGGGCAATGGATAAACATGTTGCTGCTATTGATCGCTGCTGGTATTTTAAGTTTTGGGTGATGGAAGCTCTATCAGGTTTCCAGGCACAACCGTTCAGTCTGCCTGCTAACTGCCCCATCTTTAGAGCCCCCTTATGTTCCAGGGGTGGGGCAGGAGTGGGGTTTAGCAAATGAACTCTAACTCCTCAGAGAATAAAGATCACAAAGTTGATTTAGAAATATGCTGCATCACAGCACGTCATTATCAGTCTAGGAGTGTTGTTGTTCATTTTTTGGCAAATCCTACAGTATCACAAAACTTAATGGACAAAAACCTTAATTTTTTTACATTTTCTCCATACACGTTTACCACCTAGTATGAACAATTGGTGTTTTTTTTTCAAAGATTATGAAGATTATCCTTTTTGTGTAAACTGTTGTTGAATATTTGAATGCTTTAGACGAAGTCCTGCATTATGTCCCACCCTGACATCCTACAATTACAATCAAGACAATGGGAAGAATAGATGTACTGGCTAATTTGAACCCGGCATATCAGCCATCATTATCACAGTAAGACTCACAGACTCTGGCAGCAGGACTGATTAAAGATGTTATTTGAGAAATTGCTCATTTGGCAAATGCTTATATTGTCTGAAACCTACATCCTCATTTTCATCGATGCGTTTCAGGGGATTTGTTTTTTAATTTAAAGAGACACAAAATAAATAAATAAAAAGCAGACATATAGTGGGACACATAATCATTGACACATTACCAGTAACAGTACAGTTGAGCCTCACATCCAACCTTGATAGACACATTCCTCAAAACAAAAACACACGACTCACAAGGGAAATAAGCAAAAGCGAGTCTAATGATGGAAACAACTTAATGTGGCAGCACCATCGCCCAGACTCCTCCCCTACAGCATGGTTTGGCATTGTGTTTGTGCGTAATGTCCATCTGGGACAGGCAAGCTAATTTACCGTGGCCGAGAACAACACCACACAGCCCTAATGATCGCCAAGCCGCCAAAGTTGGCCCCTATCTCAATCAAGCTCTGGTCCAGTCGCAAAGCAGGAGCAAATTAATTTGGAATCCAAAGCTGAAAAATGACCTTTCCCTGTGGTCACGAGTCAACCTGATAGGAAATATGTGGATAGCAAAGTGCCCTGACATTAATAAGACACTCTGTAGTTGTGAGGCTCAGTCTTTTTGTCTCATTCACACATGTACACAATTACATTCATATCCAACCTACAACTTGGGCCAAAACTCAAACTCCTTAAAACCCTAACTCTACTCCAAAGTATACAAACATGACAGAAACCAAGATGGCAGCCAGTAGTGAAATAAATCACTGTCATGTCAATTACGAGGATATTGATAGACAAACCTTGACTCCTCCAAAAGGAGCAATTTGCTAAGGTGATGTAACTGACTGTGTGAATAATGAACCCCTGTAATGGAGAGTTGGCTGGCAGTTGTGGTGTGTCTCCAAAAGTCTTCCCCAGAGTGACATCTTCCCCACCTTGTGCCACTGGTCTTCACAGTAATGCTATATCCACATCATAGAAGCTGATCCCATTGATTTAGCTCTTAGCTCCACCACCCCATATGAACAGTTATATTTTTGGGTGGGGACCATAGTCTAGGCATCTAAGTTACAGATCAATTATCCAGACCTTGGTAGCAGAGTTTAGGATGAGACATAGATCACAGGCAATATGGAGTCATTCAGAGCTGGGTATGTAAGGAGTTAATGTCAATGACATATCAATTTAATTCAATTAAAATTTGTATAGCTCCGAATCACAACAAAAGTCTACACCTTACTTTACAAACTAAGGTCTAGACCTTCTTATTATTATCATGGAGGAAAAACCCAACAAATCCTTACTATGGCTGCTGGTGTCTCTAGCTTCATGGTTCTGTCTATGGCATCGCCAGTTACCAGAGTTGTTCTCTCAGTGGGTGTGTCTCAGCGGGGAAAATTGAAACATGAACAGGCAGGTGATGCAATTGTTTCGGGCTATGACTCTTGCGAACTGTCCCCCAGCCGCCTGGCTGAGCTCCCGACTGCTCGGGAAGTGCTGGGGGGTGGCTAGCTAGCTTGGTCTGAGGCTAGGAGGCGCTACACCGGCTACATGGCCCTGGCTAGCTGGGCTGTTGTCCATGGTGCGGAGCTGCGTTTCTAATTCGGTGAGCCTCACCTCCAATGCTGCTAGCATCTGACATTTATTACAAGTACCATTATCGCTTAAGGAGGCAGAGGAATAACTAAAGATGTGATACTCCGATCAACAGAAAGAAGCAGAGGAATAGGGGGAAGCCATTGCTCTCAACTAAGCTACTAGCTTAGCTAGCTTGTAAGCTAGCCGACATAAAGTAGCAAGTTAAATTTGGTAATTAGCAAGAACTTCTCTAACAGAAGTGCTTAAGTAGTGCAGGCGTATGTTTTGACTCAAAAATTAGTTGATATTCAGATAAACATAGAAATTAGTGAGTCTAATCTGTAAACAATCTGGTAGCAAGCACAACACGGCACAGTAAACAGGAAGTGAGTGCAATTATCACAGTAACGGGAAACAGCAGTCACCTAGATGCTGTGAGAGGAGAAGAAGAGAAAAGAGACTGTCGTCTTCTTCTGTTGTTTAATGGTGGTTGGAGTGCGGAGCAGTGGGTAGAGCAGTCGTCACTTAACCTGTAGGTTGGGGGTTCGAATCTTGGTGCTTGCAGTCCACATGTCGAAGTGTCCTTGGGCAAAATACATTCAAATATATACATACATACAGTTTTTATTCCTGTTTTTACTCTGAACACAACTGCCAGAGAACAACATCAATTTTGGATGATTGTACACAACCCCAGATTACACTCTATGACAAACTATATTACTTCCAGTGCCAAATCTTGCATAATTCATAAAAGGTTTTTCAAAAGTCAGTGGTAAATTAATGGTGAAAAAAATATAGGACCTTTGCTTAAAACCCTCAGATTCCTGGTGGTTTGTAACATGAAAGCTGTATTTTTGCTGCTTACATCAAAAGGTGAAGCGGCCGCTGCTGTGATACATTTCCAGAGTTGTCCAGTCCTCTTTGGTTATTACAATCCATTGTGCTGTTTTGGAGTCTGATGGCATTAAAGGTTTTTGAGGGGGGGTTTTCCATATCTGGTTTGAGAGTCTAGGGACATAAAGGTTTGTATGCTGGACAGACTGTAAAGCTCCTATAGCCAAATTTGTGATTTGTTATACTGGGCTATATAAATAAAATTTGACTTGACTTGATGTTACTGGCTTTTCTTCCCACGATTTATGTCCAAAGCCAATGTTTGGTTCTACTGCAGCAACAAATGTGCCCAGCATGTGGCAAAGTGAAAAATAAGAGCATGGACATTCATAGTTGCCAAATGTCTGAACCAGTGGCTGCCAGAGTGAAGAGATGGCATCTTTTAACAGAGTGGGACAAAAAAAGAGCAAAAACCAGGGTTATTATAGGTTTGGCATTTTGAGATGGAGATGTCTAAAAACAGCCAAATGATTTGATTGAACATTAGCAGTAACCAGAGCATTCGACTGGATTGCCAAATGTTCTTATTAGTTAGCTAACACTAGCTTCAGACTGGAGGCTGCATTTTGTACCGTTCGCTGTACTGTAACCACACATCCATAGTTCACATCATAGCTTCAGAAAACAGGACAGGAGGGACAGAGCACCACAGAGTGGCTTATGATACAACCTTGTTTGGAGTCTAGTCCGACCCTCTAGGCTGAAAAGAAATTATGTAGAATGCCTTTAAGACTACAGTTGTCAAATAACCAGGAGTGAGATGAATAAAACAAACAGCATCAAAAATGGTTGGATTACCTGTCTAGTGTGGAACACAGTTCATAAGCACAATGTTATTAATATTTAAGGCACATTCTGTCACAGATTGTCAGGTTAGCTGTAGTGTCTTATAGGACAAGTGCATTTCTGCATAACAATATTCTCTATTTGTGGCTGTCACAAGGTAAATCTAGTCCAAATAAAGACCAGATGTGCCACAATATGTCTTCAGAGGTATTCGTGCTGACTTTAGCCTTATGGAAAGCTCAGAAAGACAGAAAAGCACACAAGTATTACTGCCAGGCTCCAAAGACTGCACACACTATTACCACACTAGATACAGTTACAGAGGTTATTTTTAACTCTGCTTTATGGCACATTTATAATTCAAATGGTTAGCATTTAGAGCATCAAGTTATAGTTCAACTGATATATATTTTCACTGTATTAATGCCTGGATTTATAAGCTATGGCTTGGTTTTCCTGTGAAGAAAAACTCTTAGAGTGTTTTTGTTTTTTCTCAGGCATTCCAGCCTGGATAAATGTCCCTCATTATTCGGCTTAGAAATAAACATTTCTCAACCTAATATTTTTCTCCCCAAAGGAAACACATCCTGGTTAATCAAACATTATTACGCTTTCCTGGAAATACTATTAAGAGATGAGTGGTTTCTGAGTGGAGTAATTTAACATCTTCTTCCCACGTTGTCTAAAATTGGGATGGTTAAATTATGATATCATTGCCTTGTTAATTCACCTAATAATTTCTCATTTATTTAGATGATGAGATCTATACCTCAGCTCACCAATCTGACTGTCTACCTGTAGATTAAACAAATAATGCTTTTGGTAATATAATACTCTATCCGCCTTTTTTAGTTTTGCTAAGTAGCCTGCAATATTTTGTCTCCTCAGCAACTCAAAGATGATAAACAAATGTATATGTAGAAATTTAAATATTTATTATATGCTTTCTCCTTGTAGCTGTTTTTCAGTGATTCCCTAAACTGTGCTGCTGAAGATTTGTGTTTCCAGCCAACTAAGTGCTTTGCATCTACTAAAAGATCTGACTCACTCCCCCGAGGCATTGCACTTATACTGTCTCCTTGGGGTCGCAACATGTTTGCTGTTACATTTAAGTACAACTGCAGAACATAAATGACAAAGTCATCATGCTAATATCAACAGAAAGTATTAGACAGAAATGCATCAACAAGTTCATAACAATAGTGTTGCTGTTCCATCACAAGTGACCTCTTGACTTCTTGATTACATCATGGAGCTCCAGTGCAGAAAGTCTCCTACAAACTATGTTCATGTAAGTCTCTGCTTTCGTTTAACATTAACTGATGATGTGCAGTACTGACAGTGTGACAGTGGTCATTTAATAAAAAAAATGAAATTAAAGATGAGATTATGAAAGTTGATGTGATGGATGGTTGCAAAGAGTTTGACCAGACTTTGCCCATATCTTCTTCCAACCAATGCTAGTTGTCAGTGTTGACATTTTAACTACAATTAACTTCCATTTTTATGTAAACCTAAGCTGAATTAATACTTTAGCATGGGTCTTGCTGATGTTATAAAAGGAGACTCTGTCGCTATGCTAGAGGTATGGCTAGCTTATGTGCTCAAAATTCGGAATAATTGCGGAGATCTCAGATGGAGACCAAGTACGTATATTTCATTTGTACAAAAAGGTGTTTTCTGTGCATCTTACAACAATATGCAGCTGAGTCAGGTGAATTCCAAAATTTAATATGATTCAAGTAATATTAACAGCACAAGTCAATCAGGAGGCAAACAGCAGCATACAGGACTTCTAAACTTGGGCTATATGGTTCGGTTTAAGAGGCCTTGTAAAGATTTGGTTTTGTGCTCCAAGCCAGGAGAAAATTGGGTGCTCTTGCAACAAGTGAATACTGCAGCGTCTTGGAAGCAAATGAAAACCCTTCACTCTGAGTGGATCTGAGCAGCCAGGAGTTGTCGGCAGCTCTCCCTGGTGTCACCTCTAGCCTATTAGTCTCTATAAAGGATGATAAATTAGAGACAGAGGGGGAGGAAAGCCTCAGTACTGATGTCAAAGATGGGGGTCATAAGAATGATAAAGTGAACACCATGAGTGCTTTAATGGCCGATGCCAGCAGAGAGGGTGGAAAGAAGGAGGAACATGAAATCTTTAAGAGGGGTTTCCATGTTGTTTTCTTGGTGCTCAAGGCCAAAACAAACATGTCAGAATCTCATATGAATTTGAAATCAGTTTTCTAAGGCAGACCGTGCACAGTTTTGCAGGCCCAAGTTGAAAAAGCAGGTTTTTTCTCTCTCTCTGTTGAAGGACTACAGGTTGACAGATTGAAAAATAAACACAATTTATTACAAAGTAAAGAATGAATGACAGGAGCCATCCATCTTAAACTACATCAAACTAAGATCTGTAATATGATTCATGAGGGGCAGGTACTGTTGTGCCTTTTCACCAAAGACACAAGCTGAAGAACAAAATGTTTAATGTTTTGCTAAGTATAATTTCACCTAAACACTGCATCAAAATATAGTGTTTTATTGATTTGAAGGTAGAAGCCATTATTACCAATATGCTGCATTTAAGGGTTACATAATTTAAAGATATAGTCCTCAAGACTGTGAGGAATTCAAACCCTGAAACCATTCAGTTCACCCTATAAGCACCCCTCTATGTACAGCAGTAGTTTTCACTGTTAGTGGTGGAGTCAGCCAATCATGCACAGGAATTCACACTGCCTGCTGTATTTTTGCTGCTTACATCAAAACCACTGTTTGTAATTTTATTTCATTCATATGACTTTATTATGTTGCTGCTAAAGCAAACCAAACACTTCCTGCCACTTTGTATTCAAACAGCTAAGTGACAAGGCTAAGTGTCGGGCTTTTATTGTGAAGTAGTCACACAAAATGCAGGATTTTTGTAAGTTAGTATGACTCTTCATCAAAAGTGCATCGAAGATGGTGGTCAGTGGGAGGATTTTATGACAGCAGATTTGTTTCAAATAGTGCAGCTGGTAACTGAACGAGAAAGATGAAGAGCTGCAGGTGACGGGCTGCACACCTGCCACTCCTCAGCAAGGTAACCAGCTCTATGCTCTACTACTTGTGCAGTGTGTAACATGGAAAATGGGCAAATATTAAAACAGTGCTGTACATTTATAAATACATACTTATAATGCAGATTTACTCTGGAAATATTGACTTGTTGGAGATTTTATGAGCTTCATTCTTCCAATTTGTGATATCTGAAATGATATAAAAAGGTTATAGACAGTTATGTTAACATACTAGTCCTACATTTTGGAGTAGAAAAGTCAAAGGCCTATCTTTACAGGTCATTACATTAGCAAATGATGCTGTCAGTTCAATCCTGCCTTTTGTCTCCTGAGATGAGAATCAATCATATCTTTACTACGTGGGACAGTGAAAACAAATGGCCATCATATATTACTCAGAAAGAAGACACACTTAGTCTGAGCTCATAATGGGTCTTTGTCTTGCAAAA